CTGAATTCGCTTATTCCAAAGGGAAATCTACCGAATTGGCCTTACAGACTTGGTTAGGAAAATTAAAAAGGGCCCACAAAAACAAAGAAATTGAGCTTTGTGCATTTCTGGATATTGAAGGAGCATTCGACAATACGAGTTATGGCTCGATCTCAAATGCCTTAACTAACAGAAATGTTGATTTTAATGTTATTTCCTGCATTGAGGCGATGCTTCAAAACAGAAAAATTACATCAACCTTACGTAGAACGTCTGTAGCTGTTGAGGCCGCAAAAGGTTGCCCATAGGGTGGAGTACTGTCTCCTTTGCTCTGGTCAGTGGTTGTTGATGAACTTTTAATCTTATTGGAAAATATTGGTTGTGACGCCATTGGGTATGCAGACGATCTAGTTATAATAGCATCGGGAAAACATGGTAGCAGTCTATCAAAGATCTTGGTAGGACACCTTCGAGGCATTTTAGCGTGGAGACATTTACGTTTTCACACTCAAACGTAAACTAGACATAGGTCCCGTACTTTTAGGAAACACTAATATTTCTCTCCAGTGAAACAAAGTACCTAGGTGTTGTCCTAGATGGTAAACTCACTTGGAGTTCACACTTAAATAAAGTATATAACAAAGCATTAAGGGCTTTATGGACAACACGGTCCTGTATAGGTAAAACTTGGGGCGTAAACCCAAAGATTATATTTTGGATATATCAGGCAGTAGTACGTCCTATCATGACATATGGTTGCCTGGTTTGGTGGCAAAAAGTCACACAGGCTGGATCTATTGCTGTTTGCATGAAGCTCCAGAGATTAGCGTGTCTCTTAATGACTGGTGCTATGAGGACAAGTCCAACTGCAGCACTTGAGGCTATACTTGGATTGACACCTCTGCACATACACATTCAATCTACGGCTGCGCTTAGTGCGCTTCGACTAAAACTCCACACGAACAAGGGTTGTCTTGACTGTGGTCATACAAAAGAGTAGACGTGCAATTTTCACGTCTACTCTTTCAATAAATAAAATCATAAAAAGAAAATATGTAAGTATACAGTCTTAAGCGCGGTACAAACTATTATTTTTGAGTGTCTTTCAAGAGAGAAAATGCATGAATGACAATCGTGCTCACGAAATTTTCACCCAAAAACTTTGTCATTTAAAAGCATATTTTTGCGTGGTTATATAAATTTTTACCTTACAAATTATATATAAACTCAAAAGAGTAGAATTAATTGTAACATAACTTTAATACGTGGTTTTATGATTACATTTATTGTTTTATTATTAATATATTTATTATTTATTATTATTAAAATTACACGTATAAATTAGAAAGAAATATAAATTTAATATAAAAATTTTTATAAAAAATTAAAATACAATTAAATATCCAACTAAATTTATGTGATGATAATAAGTAATTTTTTATTTGAAAAAACATCTAAATATGAACATCGTTAAACTAACGACCTAAACCCAAAAATAATAAAAAATGGAACTAAAAGTTGGTCGTAATAACAATTTATTATTAACCTAAATTTAATTTGTTAAATCATGCCATTAAAAAATATATTTAAAATATTAATAACATTGAACCTACAAAAATATGAAAATTACCAAATGTCTTGAAAAACAATGAATATATATCCTTTTATTAATTATATTATCTATCTATTGTGTTGTATTTTCTTAATATTTTTCATAATTAAAAAAGATAGTCATACACATTTTCCTTATGACTTATTCAATGAACTTAAAAGTAATATAATTAAATAAATGACTTAAAACTAACTCAAATAATATATGGAGAAAAATTTATCAACTAATGATTATAATAATACTATGTTATTTAAAGTCAAATAAATTTCGATTGCCATGGAACACTTCATTAGTTATTAAAATAACTGCAAAATAAGTTTTGTAAACGTTTTTTGCCATACTTGCGAGCCACTAAAAACACTTTTTATTTATTTGTGTAGTTATCTAATACCTAATAACTAATAATAAAATTAACTAAATTAAAACAAAGAAAAAGATATGCAGTGGAATCACATAATATAGAGAATAAACAAAACCAAGACAGAAATCTAAAAGGAATATATTCTAATTTGTTTACAATTCATTAAAAAGTCTAAATACAAAGTTTGGCGGACTTCTCATTGTGGTAATGGTAGTACATTAGCTAAATAATATTTTCATTTATATTTTCTCTACCTATATTTAATAATACTGTTTTCTTAACAAAATAATGAACTCTATTAGTAATAAACTCTATTATAATTAACTCTATTAGTTTAATATTCTCCAAATTAAATATTAGCACAAAATAGTTCGATTTAGATTTGGCGTCAATTACTTTGGCTTTTCAATGTTGCAAAAATTTTGCCGTTCTTTTTGAGACAGTAAGTATTTTGATGTTTTATTTTATTTTTTTCATGACTGTAAATTGTTAAGAATGAATTTTCTCTGAATATATTCTGGTTCGAAAATATTAATAGAATGATAACAAAAAAAAAAATATTGACAAAAAATATCACCGCCTTATTGCTATTAACTGTTGAAGTCGAAAATGTGAAGAAATTTTAGTTTTGTCTAGCTTTTTGAGACAAACTGTAATTCAATTTCAAATTACAATATCTGTATATAAGCGAAACGCATCCCTCCATATTAATAAAATTTACTAATTCTAAGATATGATAAACAAACAGGGATAAAAGTTTAAATACACCCTTAAAATTTAGAATTTAAAGAAAAATAAACATGTCACTGAAATTGTAAGTACGCAGTTTTATTTGATTTCATAAATTATTATAAATAACAACAAAAAATATTTACTTGGTTGCAAGCATAACGGTTAATTTAATAAAAACGAAAAAATGATGAGGACAAAAGTTTAAATACACATCAAAATTGTATGTAATCCAAAGAAATTGACAAACTTTTCAACAAAATATAATACTTAAATATTTTGTTGGACGGCTATGAGTTACTATGACTGCTTGCAGACGACGTGGCATGGAAAGGACTACATTTTCAGTTTCTAATGCCGTTATTTGAGATTAGGCTTTCTTGAGAACTCCTTTTAGTGTAAATATAAATATATTTTTTGTTTTGATTAATTTATGAAATCAAATAAAACTGCATACTTACAAATTTTATGAGGGTGTAGTTAAATTTTTGTTCCTGATAGTATATATCTCCAAACTTAGTTTAAGCTTTAAAACTTAAATCTGCATTAATTCTCCAACATTTCTTATATGCTATCACAATTGTAACGTGATAATTACATATTTCCCAAAAATCAAAACACATTATTATGAACCAGCATATTATATAGATTTGAATATTTGTAATGTTTACCTCTTGTTTTTGCAACAATTTTGCTTGGATTTTTAGCCACAGAATACATGACGTTCAAACGAATAACATATGCGACAATTTTTACGATTAATTCTTTTAATATTAAAATTATATGTATTTGGTATTTCAACAAAACGAAAAATATGGAAAACTAAGTATTATAAATATTTTAGCATTACACTAGCAACAAAATTACACTCACACATCTGTTGCAACCCCGAAATAGGTTAATTTTCTTATTGCATAACGTAACAGTTCCAACTAAAATATTATTGTTGTTGAAGGAACAACATGATATAGAATCAAATATTAACCCAGCATCTGCACTGGCTAAGCTAATGATGTGCGTAAAGGCTGAGTTAAGGTGGAGTTAGACGGTAGTTAACGTAAGAAGTTAAGTCAAAGCGAAATGCACAAACAACCAAACCTGTGTATTTGATAGGAACGAAATAAACATATGTGGCGAACTTATAGAAAAATCAAATTCAATTAGGTTTTGACGTTAAGCGATTTTAAAAACTGTGCTCAGTTGCTCGCAAAACCTTGATGAGGGTGGATGCGTTGCAATTATGTGCGGAATATGTTTACTATAACGAGAGTAGACGAAAAAATATTGTGATTATGAATGTGATTATTAATAAATTTTTTTTTTATATTAAATTTTTTTATATAATTATTTTATTAATATTGCTGAATATTGATTGTATTTCTATATAGCAAAAATAATCAGCATAATAAATTTATTTTATTAACATTTTTACAATAGGTAATTGTATTTTATAATAGTTAATATTATTTATTTTATAATATCAATAATTAATATCTTATATATTGATCAATAATCAGTAGAAAGAATTTAATTTATGGTATAATAAATATTGAAGAGAAATACTTATTTAATAATAATAAATAATATTAAAACATTAGTTATATATAAAAATATTTCACTAAAAATGTTTTTATTTGTTTTACTTTGAAAGTACATTCGTACAAAAAATATATATAGAAACATAGAAATTCACTACACTTGAGAACAAGCAACTACCGGTTGGAGTTGGGAACCTGATCCCCGAGGACATTTAATAGCAACATGCTTGCCATCAATTGCACCAACACAATTTGGAATGTTCCATGTTTGCCAAAAATCTGATGTAGGTTCACTTAAATATATTGGTGATAGTAGTTGCCAAATAATATCACACATTTCCAACACGGTGTTTCTAACTGTAGTTCTTCCCAATTTATAGCTCCATGCTAAACTCTGTAAAGGGACGCCATGTGCCAAATACCTTTAAAAAATGTTCGTGTTATTTTTACTAAAATTACTAATAAAACAGTACATGTAACTTACAAAAGAGTAAGTGATAAACGTTCATCAGCATTTATTTGCTGCCCACATTTTGTCGCAGAAGGAGCTATTAACTTCAATAATAAAGTATATAATTCTTTAGACATCCGTGTATGACTAAAAAATTCTTCGTTATCTTTTTCTTTTATGGCTAAAAACGTTTTTCGGTAATAGCCATGTAGAGCACGATCCACATTAATAGGACGAACTCGCCACCTTCTATTGCGCATTTGATTTCTCATGCTGTACAAGCGCAATATGTTTAGAAACAAATTACAAGCTTGCACAGTCAATTCATTTTGATTATACATATTTGTTAATAATTTACTTAAACTATTGTTAATTATTTCAACTACCGACTGGAACTTTTGAAAATATTTCATTTGCATGTTCCAATGTAAACAAAGTCAGCTGCTTACTTACCGTCTAACACCGCCCTAACTTAAAGCGAAATTTTCATTTCGTTTCTTCTTAACATCTTACGTTAACTACCGTCTAACTGAACCTTTAGGCGGTAGATAGCGTAAGAAATTAAGGAGAAACGAAATGAAAATTTCGCTCTAAATTAACACTGATTACGCAACTGATTTTGTTTACATGTAAACAAAATATTTTCAAAATGTACACGTAAAATAATCGCGAAATTATTTTATTTAAAATTGATGACAGATATTGTTACTGACATTACATATGTTTAAATTAAAAATGAAAAAAAAACTAATTGCTTTTTATATATGCAAAATATTTTCATATTTTATTATTTTAATTATATTGTAAGAAAATGAATCAACAACTGTAAACATCAAAAGTTCCAACCGGTGGTTGCTTGTCCACAAGTGCAGTGAATTTCTATATTATTTTTTCACGCAAATATTTTTATAGTAAAATAATTAAAAACATTTTCAGTCAAATACTTTTATTTATAACTGATATCTATTATATTGCACATCTTAATATTTTTATATTATATATTTTAAAATTGTGTTTTTTATTATTATTTAATTTAAATATTTCTCTTTAATTCATCAATATATAAGATATTACTGATATTATAAAATAATTAATTTTAATATTATAATTTTAATTAACCATTTTAATAACATTATTAATAACATAAATTCATTAAAATATTTTCTGCCGATTATTTCCGCTATGTGGAAATACAATCAATATTCAGCAATATCAATAAAGTAATGAAATGTAAAATTATAATATAGAGAAAAAACAGTGACAGAGACAGTCAATACAACATTTCTAGCAAAGAAGATAAAGAAAAGAAACTGAGAGTTACTCGAAAAATTGTGTATAAATTTTTCTGGATTATTCAAAAAATATTCAAAAATTTTGTGTAATGAGGTGAAAATATTACGCAGTACAATAACAAAAAGCCTAATGCTACATAATGGCGCGTGAATATTTTCCCCACCCGGACCCTGATACTTTGCCCACCCGGTCCCTACTCACCACGATATTTGCTAAAGTAACAGAGGTTTCTGAGAAATTTCGTTGTTTGTTTTGGTTTTTTGACATTAAAAATCCGTTACGAAAAAATGCGCCAAAGTTGCAATTAAGTGCACAAATACCACATTACTAAAAGAAAAATAAGGCGGAATTTGTTTTCAATTATAAAAGCATTAAAAAAAGGTAATTATTCCAGAAAAATATATGAATTATTAGTTAATTAAAATTTATTTACAATTAAAACGGAAGTGCGTACTTGGATGTTTAAATTTCAAACATCTCTATATTTTTCCAAACGATTATCGAAGGTATATTATTAATTAAAAATAACGCAATTTATTGTTGTAGAATAAAGTAAATATATAAATGTATTAACACATTAGAAACTTAGATGTGTGCCTAATTAGTGTATATAATAAACTACGAATTAAGTTGTGCTTTTATTTTTTATTTTTTCCATGATATACTAATAATTATAAAGAAGGAAAAATCCTGAAGAGAAATTAATATTATTAATTATACTTTGATTGAGTGTTGTTATTATATATACATATATTGAAAAATTAGAATCACAATTTTCGGATCAGTTCGATAACAATTGCTATAAATTAGGTTTAGCGCAACATTTATTTAATAAATTAGAAAACGTTCATCCCTATATATGTTGCTCTAATTGCAAAATTGAAACTCTTCTATCTTTTTTCATTAAAGTAAGAATTTACTTCATTTTAAAATATTTCAATCGAGATAATAAAGTGTCGAATTTTAAATATAAACAATTATGCTTTCAACACTTATAAACAGCAGAAAAGTGTTCATACTCTTTAAGAGATTTTTTGCTTAAACAAAAAATATTTTAGTTTTAATTTTATAATTTATTAAATTTATTTATAATTTATTATTTTTGGTTTAATATTAAATATTTTTAAAATAGTAACATTATTTTGTATATATTAAGTTATTCTAAATTGTATTTACATAAAATTGTATATTTGTTAAATAAAATATTTTGGTGGAACACCTAAACACCTAAAACTCGGTAACACGCCAGCAACCATATCTCTTAGGTGGTGCGGAAAATGCTTATATATTTAATATTTCTTCTAACACTATGCGATGAAATTGATCCTTATTGTTTATAATGTTGTTATTAACTAGTTAAGAATTTCTTGAATTTCATATACAAAAAACATTTCACCTTACTGAAAGGATTGCTTAAAACTACAAAAAATATGTAGTATTAAACAGCATATACACTTTTACGATTTTCTACATTGAAAAAATTTGATGTACAAGCAAAAATTGTATTACAATATACCAAACATTTGCTTGAATTTTAAAAAATTATATTAATATTAATCTTTTTAAAACAAACTATTAAAACAATGCAACCTAATACTCGAAATGTATGAACACATACTAACTTTTCTATTAGATGCTCAGCATATATATAAATATAGTACGTATATGTGCAACATGATTAAAAGAACTTTTATTTTAATAAATACGATACAATTTTTTTAACTTTATTAAAACAATTTCATGACTAATTATATATACATATTTACATATATCAATAATAGCTACTTTATATTTACTATTGATTTTAGTTCACCAATTCTTCATTTATATTTGATTTATATAGCGCATTTAAAACTTTTATGTAAATTGAAGTAAAACTGATATAAAAAATCATGCCTATATTTACTCATTATAATCGTATTAATATATACAATGGATTTTCCAAGAACAATAATTTATACTATTTCTTCTAATTAGAAGAAATGGCTACATGCTAATATGCAACCACAAATGTAGTAAATATTTAAGTTATAAGCCACACCGTTTTTAATATTTGACAATTCTGGTATGGTAAATAAGTAAAAGAGATTTTCTTTGCGATATTACACAAAGAGGCACCATTATTCAAAATTTCCTCTCAGTTTCTTTTCTTTATCTTCTTTGATTTCTAGTGAGCGGTCGTGTTTTCAAGCCGGTCTCCGAAAAATTTAAAATTTACAGTCTTCAAACTATTAAATCAAGTATTCTTGTAAAAACCACTTTTGTAATTAATATAAAAACACAAAAATAATACAATTATCGATAAAAAACAATTCCAAAAGTGAAAAGTGCATAAAATATTAATTTGAAAATAGAGCGCACTTTTTCGGGTTTTTGTTTATTTTCTTTTTGCACTACTTAATCTTAAATGTTCAAATAGCTGACAGAGCCAGCATATCAGCAATTAAATCTAAAAAATAAAAAGTTGCAATAGATTTGCTGAACTAGCTAAATCTACAGAGGAAGCTAATCAACCTACTACCAAAAAGTTTAAACCCCCTCCAGTTTACCTGTGTGAACGCTGTTCAAATACGCTTGTTACACTTCTAGCACGTCTGATTGGTAGCAATACTTTTCATATTGTTCCTATAACCAGGGGCAATATACAAGAAACTAAGATACAAATTGACACTGAAAATAATTTCAGGGTTATATCTAAATATTTCGATTGCAGCAAGAAAATTACAACACATACCAACCGAAGAGTAGTAAAGGCCTTGTTGTCGTTATCAAAGCCATTGGGTCAGATGTAGAACCCATTGAAATCACAAATGCCCTAAGCGAAAAATCTTTAACGCTATAGTTAATCAAAATAAAATCTCATAACGTATGTTTAAAGTTGAACTTTACCCGGAAGCTTAAAGCTTAAAAAAATGAAAGCCATCGCATCTATAACCTGCAAACTTACTTCACCGCAAAATTAATGTCGAGGAACCCCACAAGCGAAATGGTCCGGTGCAATGCGAAAACTGCCAAGAGTATGGCCACACTA